TTTTTTTTTTCCCCTTGGCTGTGGTTATCAGGATCATGGTGTAAATTTCGTTTCGTCAAATCATGAACAGCAATTTTTTCCCCAGGGGCTAAGTCCCACTAGCAGCGTTGAGCTACCTCAACGCCTGAATCTGGACGCTTTTGCGGAGATGTGCAGAAACGGTGTTGAGTTTCCTGAACTGCACGTCTCCACAAAACACGTCCAGATTCAGGCGTTGAGGTAGCTCAACGCTGCTAGTGGGACTTGGTTCCCGATCTGTTTCCTCTCCTCTTTTCTTTTTTCTTTTTTTTCTGTTTTTTTTTTTTTTTTTCCGTTGCCACCGTGATCTGCTGAAGCTGTGTTTTTTTCCTCAGAGGATCGTAACCCCCCCTGATCTCACTGGCACATAGAGGAATGTTGTGGTTTTCGTTTCGTGTCCCTTGCGGCGACGCCCCTTGTTTTGCTGGTGCCTACAGTATTCCCCCGAATACAACGCACGGTCATTCTAGCCGAATTTAGACTGATATATGTACCGAATTCGGCAATAATGACCGTACGTTGTATTCGGGGGAAGACTCTAGATGTTGACGAATCGCAATGAGAGCCCCCGCACACCCCCCCTCTTCCTGTATAGGCCTCATTTGTAGTTCCTTTCCTGTCTTATAGAACGAATGACATTGAATCTAGTCGACTTTTAGTTGTTGCAGTTCGAACGTGGTGATTGTTCGGGGGATAGCGGGCGGTGGCTTGTGGTAGGTCATACTTCTTCGGAGTCCGGACTATTAGGGTCTCGCCGCACGGCAGTCGAAACGAAAACGAAACGAGTGCATCTGCCCACTAAAGGTGGCAAAATACACTCGGTACTATTTATAGCAAACCGATGAACCTGGCCATTTTCTGCAGGAAGATGCACGCGTTTCGTTTTTCGTTTCGTTTTTCGTTTCGTTTTTCGTTTCGTGTTCCGTGCGGGGACGCCCTTAATACGCAAAAGCTACTTTGATCTCGTTGCACTTGCGACGACGACCGAAGACCCCTGACTGATGAAGGCTGGTTGGCGGGCCAGCCGAAACTAGGGCGTTGCCGCACGGCACACGACACGAAAAACGAAAAACGAAACGAATGTATCTTCCCCCAGAGAATAGCCAGGTTCATCGGTTTGCTACAAATAGTACCGAGTGTATTCGAAGGTGGCAGTTTCCGTTCTTCTACTGTCGTTGCAGTTGCCTATGAAATGATGTTCGCAATGCCTGTCTGAAGTAAGTTCGTCGTACTTGGTCAACTACTCTCATGGCTGCACTTACACTCAAGCGTCCCTACTACCTCTGTGTGGTGCTCACAAAAAGAAAAAGGTATGCAGATCAGAAAAAAAAAGTTATGGGATGACATTGTCTGTCCCCAGGAATCGTTGGAAGACACATCCCACCTGTGCTAGAGGCTTCTGGGACTGGATCGGTTATATATGGTTTAGGGTTTATTTATGGCTTATCGTCCGATAGTAAATTAAATCAAATAAATATTCATTTGTTCAATTCATTGAATAAAATAACAATTTGAATAATAAAAAAATATAATTGAATTAAAAAAAAAAAAATCCTGAGCGGCCGGGGCCAGGCCGCTCAGGATTAGGCCTGTGAAAGTAGTTAGTGGAATGGGTAGGGACTCGGGAGGGAGTTAGCCTTCTTACTAAGTCTTAGAGAAGTAAGTGGAAGTAGAATGGTTTTGAAAAATTAGCGTCAAGTAGGATGAGTACCTACCGCATTTTTAGGCGTTAACGAAGTCACTGTGGATGAATCTGTGCGCTGCACGGGTCTATATTCATTTTGCGTCATAGGGGCCCTAAGACCCCCGTCAGGTACTGGTGGTTAAGTAGGATAAGTACGACGCTATGATGAATGTAGGACAGTAGGAGTGTAAGTCAAAGCAAACTGGCTAAGGCTGCCAGGATAACTCCGGGTTGAATGGTGAGGATCCCCGGCCTCGTATTAAAGTGTTTTTTTTTTAATTAATTGAATGGATTGTTTCCTTAAAAAAAAAGAAAAAAGAGAAAAAAAAAGATTATATTGATTTCAATATGAATAAAGAAAAGAAGAAAATATTCATAATTATAATTAATATTATAATATAAAAGAAGAAGAGCTTCTGGGACTGTGTGGAGGAACTTGAAGCAGTTTATTATGATGGGCAGTCCACGAAAGGACCCAGTCACTCAGAGAGGAAAAACGTTCAGGCCCAGGGTAGTTGGCTTCTGGAAGTTTTTTTTTTTTTGTTTTTGAAAGAAACGTGCCTACCTGTGATGGCCATCCGATCTGAAAATCTCATGGCCCTAGTGTGACCACGTTGGAAAATACACGAAACATAAACTAAACCCCCGGTAGACTAAGTGGGTCATGGCCGCTGGCTGCCCCTGAATCTGGAACCTTGCTTCATCCAAGTTCATTGTATTTTTCAAATAATTTTTGCCTTGGGCACGGGGCCCTAATATCAAGACATTTATATGGGGTGGGGTGGGGGGGGGGGGGGGGGTAGGACTGCATTTCATGGCCTAAGCTTTGTTTCCTTCTTTTGTGATTTTCATGGTGGCGAGGTCTCTTGTTTTTTTTTGTTTTTTTT